TAATTAATTGTAAAATTTTTAAAGATCTTAATTATTTAAGAATTAACTGACTTAATATGAAAATAATGTGACACCTTTGTGACCCCATATTATATAACATTTAATACATTATAGAAAAGTTTGATTCTGAGAGAGTATTAGTTGTATTAGTGTAGTCTCAATAGCCTTAATATTAGGCTTAATGATAAACAAACATTGGATTACTTGTGAAAGTATTTTCTAAAGACCTTTACTACTCGTATATATTTTATTTTGTTTTATAGACTAGTCTTTATTAAATTGACGATTAAATCGCCTGTCCTTTCCTCGCGAGTAGTTGTCCACTAATTAGACAAATATTAATATAATTACTTAAATTATTTTTTAATATTTATAAAATTATTTTATCATTTTTACTAAAACATTTTGCTTTGGTTTATAAATTACTTACCTTTCGCTATTAATATTGCTTATTTTTTACAGTAATAGTTTTATTTTATATGGTTGTTTAATTAAGCATAAGTTAATTCAATTTTTGATTAAATTAAATTTTTCGTTTAATGATAAAAATGTATATAACAATATAATGTATGTGTAATCAACGAAATATTCATATATTATTTCTGAAAAGAAATATCAAGTTATAGCATTTATACAAAACATTTTACAACCATCATTATATAATAATTTTCATCCAGGTATCATTCTCAGCTCCATAACCAATATCATTTGAAATTTATATTTTGATATATTCAATCAGATATCCTTATGTTTTTTATTCTTCACAGTATTCTTGATGCAAAAACATTTATCATGCGATTTATCATATACTCTACAATATATCATAGGGTTATAAATAATACAAAAGACAGGTATAACTGTAATATTATGGGGAAAGATATCCTTCGGTGGAAAAAGTGAATATGAGATGAAAAACGACGAGAGATTTCTTTACTCATTATTGGCAGCAATAATGATAACAGTATTGTTTGCGTCAGCCGTCCCTCTGTCGTGATCCATATCCTGCGGTTTGCAATGCATTTCGCAGTCTCCGTCGCACACGTTATTCATATCCTCCATAATGGGTGACTTAATGCCCGATTGTGACCATTCCTCGTGAGTGGACATCAACTGACTGGTGTCCGTCCGCCCCCCAGAACTCGCATCAGAGCTGATCTTCCTCTGCGGTTCAATAAACACTCCGCTGTTCTCTTCCGTGATTACACTCAACTCGTTTCGGTACTCTTTCCTATCAAATGTAGTCATTATAAGTACAGTACATGTGATATGCAAATGCTTTTCTATTCAATCAATCGTTGCATGCAATGAAAATATGTATTTTAAAATAAATATTATTTTATACAGTGAATGCTGAATGTTATATAAAAATATATCAAGCAAAAGCTTACAGTTAGTAAATTATATGTGAATGGAAAAGTATATCAAATTCTGAGATTTGTATTCAATGTTCAATTGATTGATATGTAGTCTAACAAAGGCTCAGCGATTGAAACAAATTGTCATTTGTGTGTATAGTATACTATATGTAATGTATATTTTGAAAACGCTTTTCAATCGCTTACTTGACTGAGAGATAATGTTTCAGATCTTTAGGATTATTGTGCACTCCTTTGGTGGCAGCCATTGCTTGTTCATTATCATCGCAATTGTGGTGATCTTTATTATTGAAGAATCCATTTCTTTTGTCGTTATTATATAAATAATTTTTCTCTTTATTTGGTGGACACTACCATAAAAGTGCAAACATTTCAATTGAGCTACAAATTTATTGATCATAAAAGTTTTCTTATTTTATTTTTTAAAATTTAATATATTAATTCTAGAAAAATGTTTACTCAACAGAAATCTTATAATTTATAAGTTATAAATAGTATAATTTTTAAGATATGACTTATAATACAGTATGATATCAAATACATACTTGTTTATCGTTTCGATACTTGATTTGACTCTTGATTAAAGTGATTTCCTGGTAGAATGAAAGCACGCAAAGGAAACCATAGACCTGTATGCAAATTGGGTATATTTTAACTTTAGCTTAATGTTTAATACTTTCGATTCATGCGATCCAATCAATGCTCGTTTGATAATAAAAATATTTTATATATTGTGTGCTCTCTTTCAGTCTTTTTCAAACACTCAACTGTTTGACAAAAGTATTTGACAAAAATTATCGTTGATTAATGCAAAACATAATAAGATATTTAAATCCTCTTAATTGAGAAACTCATACGAGTGTCAAATTAATATTTAGAAGATTATTCGCAGGAATTTTAAATTTATTTCAATAAAAAAATGCCTATAAATAGCATCATTGTCTTTAAAATAACATTTAAATAAATTATAATATTTAGAAAACATTAAAAAAATATACAATAAACAGTGTAAGACTTAATTTAAAATATTTAAGTGTGAAAAGAGTCTTAATCAGAATTAAGTCTAAACAATTATGTTATTAAAAAGATTAACACGAATTTGCATTAAATTTTGGGTAGAATTAGTAAAATGAGAGCATTTTTCATGTTAATTCACTGAATATTCTATACTGTACACTAGTAGTTTATGTGTGTCTGGAGTGCATTATTTATATTAGAAAAATGTTTGCTTTAGTTATAAGCCTCCATCCAAATCCCTGTATAACAGTATACGAAAACTAATATTAATACGAATAAAGTATTTTATTTATATTCAATCTCATCAACCATATCATACAGTACTTTAAATATA